CTCAGGAAGAGAACACAAGGAAGAGAACACAATAGGATGGATAAGGCGAATGAGCGAGTGACTCAGTGGTAGTACTCGCAGTGGCGAGTCTGCCCGCCAGCGTTCGATCCTCGGCGATCGCAACGCTGGTGTCGCACCCGGGTGTTTGCTGTGCAGCACCCAATTATGAACAGTGCCTCTCTTGCGTGATGCCACAATGGGATTGTGACGTGTCCGTCGCCTACGGAATCAGAGGATTTTGGTGATCTCAACAAGGACGCGGTCTTCAGATCTGAGTGTAGTTGTAGGGGATTGTGACGTGTCCGTCGCCTACGGAATCAGAGGATTTTGGTGATCTCAACAAGGACGCGGTCTTCAGATCTGAGTGTAGTTGTAGGTTTGTTTGTACACGGGTGGTGTGAGTAGTGTGCATGTGTTGAGTGAGCGTGCGTGTGTGTACGAACAGATGCTACAGCTATACCCAGATGAGAGGTAACAAAAAAAAAAAGGATGGGTAAGAAAACACTGGGTGAGTTTTGATGTTTTGGAAACTTAGTATCGTATGCTGCATATCAAAGCTCCAAGAAGCAAAGACATATAAGAACAACTAAACTGAGAGTCAATAGTCCATTCACATGTATGACCTTTATGGGATACTTCCAGAGAATCCGTACAGCCCTTGACTGTTGAATTCCATGTCTTCGCTAAGTGAACCACCGAGACATCACCATCCATGGTCTGTGTAATTACTCTGTAGACCACCTATGAAATCAAGGCCACAAAAAATTCAGATTGTTAGCTTATCAACTGATTTATATTAAGCAGTGTCCGCAGTTGCAGTTTTTAGCCAACTGGCTGAACAGGAGTTTGCCTCCAGGCCAGACTTTGCACTATAAATTCCCAATGATGGAATTAACCCCCTTGTGTTAGCTAAATCATTAACAGTAACAACTTAAACGTTATTTCAAAAGCTCGTGTAGATAACACATTTTTTTATTCCTTTAGGGTACGTACTTTTTTCAGCATATAACTTGTCCTCAAAGCTTGTTAACTGAATTTTTACTTAGCGTATCGCAGTAGATACCTTTAAGTTGGTGTGATTTGAGCACTATGACTATGATAAGAGAAGACAATGAGATTAGAATCTCAGAGCAAGTACATAAATTCTGGTTGCAGTCATTCAAGTGTACGCAAGAAAACAGAGCAAGTAGTATACCAGATCAAACTGCTGCACAGTTACAGTACAGGTCCTTGACAGATCTGTATGCCTTTGCAATCAAGTGATGTGAAATTTTTTTATTACATCTAACTCGACTCAATTTCCAACTCTTTCTGGGCCAGAGATTGGTGGGAGGCCAAATCTTCTTGAACCAAAGAGACTCTGCTTGGCTTGCAACCAGTCATGCAAAACCGCCAAACATGGCCTGCTTGGTTGAACTGAAAAGATAAAACCGAAAACACAGGCTTGAAGCCCAGGCTGAGGCTGCTATCTGGATTCTGGAGTAAAACCAACAACAGGGAAGGATTCACCATATCCCATGAAAATATATGCCTCTAACTCATGTGTCATTAAGTAGATATAAGCACTTACACTTCAGATATGAAAATGTTGCAAGATGAGTTTCACTGGAATTTACATCCAAATGGAAAATTCTCGGTGAAGTCACACTATCAAGCGTTATTACATACTGATATCCCAAACATTAACAAACTCATTTGGAAAATGAAAGCCTCACCGAAAATAAAAAATTTCCTGTGGTACCTATGACGAGGAGTTATATTGACAAAGGATAACCTAGTAAAGCGCAAATAGCAAGGTAGTAAAACTTGTTGCTTTTATCACAAAGAAGAGACAATTAAACACTTGTTCTTTGACTGCCGGTTTGCTTGTTCAATTTGGTCTTTTATTCATGTTGCGACAGGTCTTTTAAAACCCCACAATATAGGTCATATGTTCAATGGCTGGCTAAGAGGTGTCAACAAAGATGTCAAGCTTTTACTCCTGTTAGGAGGAGCTGCGACTTGTTGGTCTATTTGGCTCAGCACGAATGATATTGTTTTCGAAAAGAAAAAAATTTGTTTCTCCTATGCAAGTTATCTATTTGGTTACCCTTTGGCTACGTACTTGGGCTATCCTGCAAAAGCCGAATTTGCATGATACAGTTGTAGCGGTATCACAACAGTTGACGCATGTGGCAAGGATTTTTTCTACCAAGCACATGGGTGGCAGTCTAGTTTACGAATTGATAGTCACTAAATTGTACTAGGTTTCTTCTCTTTCTTTGGCTGTGTGCCTCATGTTAGGCAGAGGCCGGAAGTTGCCCTCTTTGGCTTTGTATCAACTCGATGTATTGCTTCTGAGGTTTTAATAAAAGCTTCCTTTATCAAAAAAAAATGAAAATGTAGCACACTTCAGAATTGACTCTGCTCTAACTTAAGACATCCTACCCGAAAAAAGTGAATAAAATTATATATGTTCCTGCACAAACCAGGAAATGATACAACTAACAGAATGTGGCACCGTCTTTCATACAGTGCTTCCTCTTTGCACCTGTAATTTTACGCTCCCGAATCTCACAAGCATTGACATAGCTGTAGTAGGGGGGTATCTGAGATCTCCATACTAGGACCTCAAATTTTCCATGTTTCTTAATGCTTCCATACAGCACATCTTGGACTCTTATCTCTGGAACCTCCTCATCGGGAAAGCGGTGATACCGATGACAAATCATGAATTCTTCGGAAGGTGAAGCCATTCTTCCATGCAGTACAGGTTTGTTTTGGTTTACAAGATCAAAAGGATGCACACCGAATTTGGAGATATGCTTCTGGATGAACCCTCTCATGAAGATCAGCACCTTACACCAAAAGTGTAAGTTAAAATTGTCCCTCAACAAATAAGAGGTGATATATGCAGAATGGATTGAACGATTCTGCAGTCTGGCTATCTCCATGGCCAGTTGTGCAAACCTAGGGCGCGTCTCGGTATCCATGCTTCCAAATGTAAGTGTCTTGAAGAAATACCAGTAAGCCTCAAGGGACATGTACTCCAGAGTTAGAGCTGGTGTCGTTCCAAACTTTACAATCTTGTCTGAACAGCTTGTCACTATGATTTTACTACCACCAGGAAACCTCTGTTTGGAAGCAAGGTAAAACCTATTCCATGCATCTTCACAGAGATTGCCGTATAGTTCAATAACAACTAGCAGTCTCTTGCCTTTCTTCAAGTTTGACAAACAATTTCGACGATTCATTGCACATCCCTGTCTGAAAGTTAGCTCACCATCCATAAAATCACGGTTGTGCAGCCACAAGATTTCTGAGAAATAATCACAGACTCTTTCATCTTTGCAAACATGAGCGATTAGGGTACTCTTACCGACTCTGAATGGACCAACAACTGGCAGAACATCCAATTCTTCGGAACTATGAGGTTTTGTGTGCAAAAGGAAATTAATGACAAGTTCTGCTTCCATCTGGCGACCAAACATGCAGTTACCCAGAAGGATATGCATGCTGTAAGGCTGGCGATACAGGCGAGGGTAACTCATCAAGAACATGACCAACTCATTCAGATCAACAATCATGGAGCTCAATCTGTCAAGCGCCTCTCGTAGTTGTTCCTGAAACTGTATAGTTCGACTGGAGAAATAGGGATCCTTTGCAGAAGGTACCTTGGATAGGGGCATAAACCGCCTAGCAGCTGGATCATTGCCATCTTCTCCATAGTGAGGCTGGTACCTGAACGCATCAAGTGCGTAATAGCCTCGGTGCATGGCATCCCTCAGAATGCCCAGCTGCAGGAGCATGGCTTGATTTGTGATTTGCCGTCCCATGGCCTCCTCAATGATGACCTGTGCTCTGAGAAGAGCCCTTTGTAGGCTTTCCTCCATGTTCAGTTTCAGTGGTGTTGACCACTTGTTGATGATGAAATTTATGGATCGAGATATCAGCTCACCCAGGACTGCAGAGAGGAAAGTTTCCATTTGGGAGTTCTCTCTTGCTCCTTAGGAAGACAACGCTGCAGGAAGGATAAGAACTAAGAAAACACAAGATGAGTATTGATGTTAATGAAACTCACTCTGTAGTCTGTATTCTATGCTTCACATCAGAACTCAAAGGAGAAGAAGGGCATATAAGAACCGGGCTCAAGAAGCAAAAACATAAAGAAAAATCTAAATTGAGAGAGTCAATAGTCCATTCACATGTATGACTTTTGGGACCCTTACCTAATATTCTTATCGACTTTTTATTTAGTTGCTTACACTTTCTACTGATTGTCTACTTCGATAGGTACAGCCCTTGACTGTTGAATTCTGATCCTTTCTACTGATTATTTATTTACTTGCTTACACTTTCTGTTATGAATGGCGTTGGGGTTGTTGGGATCGAGAGGAGCGAGTCGAGGGAAGGGGTAGCGATGTGCGTGCTACAGTACCCGTAGCGCTACAGTATCCGTGGGTACTGTTCACGTGGTGGTGGCTAGGGCTGCAAGAGCGCTGGGGGAGGCCGGCCGCGGGGCTTCGCCCACGGCCGGCAAGAGAGAAGGGATTTCCTTTTAATCTCTTGCTTGATTATAGATTGATACATCTCCTCTCATTATATAGAGAGGTCTGACTTGGCCCCTAAGTAAGCGACTAATTAACCTTAATGGGCTAAGGCCCAATAGACCCTTGACTCCTCTAACACTACACCCCACCTGGACATGCAGCTCGTCCTCGAGCTGCAATCTAACGATGACACTAACGATGCCTCCACTAGACACAAACCTAACACCTAAAAATAAGCCTTTTACATCTCGGCTTATTTTATTGACCTGAAGAAGACTACGACTTTTTATTTTTGACTCCTGAAGATACGGCTGGCACCCTCCGCTTGCTGGATCAACACGTATGTAGCCACCTGGATCCCATGGAGACCATCGGAACGAGAGGGGTGCACGGGTATGGCCACCTAGAATTAGTGGCAACAGCAACCAGCGGAGACGTGCTCGTGGCGGACGGTGGCGGAATGCGATGGCGCTAGGCAGTGCGTCCCCGCCGGTGACAAGGAGGAAAGCTGCTCCCATATCGCCGGTGCCGCAGAGTTGGAGTTCGCCGCCCATGGAAAAAAACACCATGCTTGCGCCTGAAGACAACAACAGGTCGGCGCAGTTGCTGGTGGCCGTCCGACCAGGTGAGGTCGACCGACCATGCTGAGTTACACTCCCCTATGCTGAGGTCGACCGCCGCCAAGGTCGCCTCGTGCATAGGTGAGCGCATCTTCTGCAGCCGCCGGCGCGCTAGGAGGCCACGCGCCGTAGCCTGCAGCCGCACCGCCGCAAACACCTTGCAGGCACTTGCCCGCGCAATCGCCTTCCTCTCCGTGAGCTGCAAGGCTGCTGCTGTAGGGACGACTGGACGCCGCCGCTTGAAGATGGGGTGTTGTCGTCCCTGCCGGCGCGCTAGGAGGCAATGCGCCACTGCTTGCAGCTGCGCCGCCGATGCCTGGATGCCATCCACGCCCCCGTAGAAGACGCCATCGCTGTCCTGCTGTGGCGGCACGGGGCTGGGGGTGGTGAACGACGGGATCAGTGAAGGAGAGGTGGAAAGCAGCGCGGGACTGCTGCTCTCCTCGGCGGTCAAGAGTCCGTTGGACGGTTGCGGCGGCCAGCTGACCGGCTGCGGGAAAGGGCCGGGCGCCGAACTCGCATGCAGGACCTGCGGTCCTTGCGGTCCCAAAAGAAACGCATGAATCCCGGCCACCATCTTGCCGAGGTCGAGCACCGCAGCCGTCAATTCTGCGTTCGACATGATGCCCATGGCGAAGGGAGACGCCCCCTCGGCCATCGGCAGCGAGGTCTCGGGGACGAGCGGCAGAGTGGTGGAGGTGGGCAGCGAGGTCGACATCGGAACCGAGATCTCTGATACCAAATTGTTATGAATGGCGTTGGGGTTGTTGGGATCGAGAGGAGCGAGTTGAGGGAAGTGGCGGCGATGTGCGAGCTACAGTACCCGCAGCGCTACAGTGTTCAAAGATACTGTTCACGTGGTGGTGGCTAGGGCTGCAAGGGCGCTGGGGGAGGCCGGCCGCGGGGCTTCGCCCACGGCCGGCAAGAGAGAAGGGATTTCCTTCTAATCTCTTGCTTGATTATAGATTGATACATCTCCTCTCATTATATAGAGAGGTCTGACTTAGCCCCTAAGTAAGCGACTAATTAACCCTAATGGGCTAAGGCCCAGTAGGCTCTTGACTCCTCTAACACTTTCATACATCACTATCTACTATGTAATTTCTCTGTAGAGAACTTATGATACGAGAGTCACAGAAATCAGATTGTTAGATTACAAACTGATGTATGCTCTGAATAACCGCTAATAACTATGTTAACCAGTGTCCTCTGTTGGACTTTTTAACTGTTCAGAGTGCGATGTTACTGTCTGATCATTGACCACATCCAGTCACCCTTTCAACAATTTCTTGTGTTTTCTTCTGTGAGTGAACAAAACATACGACTCAGTAGACACAGTTAAGACCCATTCCTAGCTAGGACTTTTAAGAATTTCTGTATGAGCTGAAGTACTGAAATCATCCATGCAGAACTCATACCCTTCATATAGGCCTGGACGTTTTGATGACTGGTGCTTACGAAAATTTAATTGAATGTTTCAGAGATGAGATTTCCAGATAGTTCAATGACAACAAGAAATCTCTTGCCTCTGTTCGAGTTTGGCATACAATTTTGATGGTTCATTACACATCCTTGTCTGCAAACTAGCTCATCATTTGTAAAATCGAACTCACACAACCACAAGATTTCTGAGAAATAATCACGGACTCTTTCGTCCTTGCAAACATGAGCGACTAGGGTACTCTTGCGGACTCTGGGTGGACCGACAATTGGCATGACCTCCAAATCTTGAGAACAATGAGGGTGTGTGTGCAACAGGAATTTAATAACAAGTTCTGCTTCCATCTGGCGACCAAACATGCAGTTACCAAGTAGGATATGCATGCTGTAAGGTTGGCGATACAGACGAGGGTACCTCATCAAGAAAATAACTGACTCGTTCAGATCAAACATCATGGACCTCAATCTGTCAAGTGCATCTTCTAGTTGTACCTGGGACTGTGCAGTTCGACTGAAGAAATAGGGATCCTTTGGAGAGGGTACCTTGGATAGGGACATAAAGCCCCTAATAGCTGGATAATTGCCCTCCTCTCCGTAGTGAGGTTGGTACCTGAAGGCATCGAGTGCGTAATAGCCTCGGTGCATGGCATCTCTCAGCATGCCCAGCTGCTGGATCAAGGCTTGATTTGTGATGTACCGTCCCATGGCCTCCTCATCGATGACCTGTGCTCGGAGAAGAGCCCTTTGTAGGCTAGCCTCCATGGCCATTGCGGGTCGGTTCAAGCACTTGTTGATGATGAAGTTTATGGGTCGAGTCATCAGCTCTCCCAGGACTGCAGGAAGGAAAATTTCCATGTGAGTTCTCCCTTCCTGCTCAGGAAGACGAGGCAGGATGGGTAAGAAAACACGAGGTGAGTTTGGATGTTTCTGAAACTCTGTATTCTCTGCTTCACGTCAAAGCTCAAGTCAGAAAGGGCCTGTAAGAACGATTGAGCTCAAGAAGCAAAGACATATAAGAGTAACCAAATTGAAAGAGAGTCAAAAATCCATTCACATAAGATAAAAAAAAAGTCCATTCACATGTATGACCTTTGGGATTGCTTTCGTCTTCACCTGGTTATTCTGATTTGACTTTTTATTTCTCTGTTTACACTTCCAGAGAATACATACAGCCCTTGACTGTTGAATTCCAATCCTTCGCTAAGTGAATCACTGAGACATCAACATCCATGATCTATGTAATTTCTCTGTAGAGTACCTATGATATCAAGGTCACAAAAATAAGATTGTTAGCATAGCAACTGGTATACTGTAGTCTGTATACCAGCTAAGAACTATATTAATCAGTGTCCTCTGTTCCACTTTTGAACCAACTGACTGAACAGGAGTTGCCTTCAGACCAGATTTTGCACTATAAATTCCCGATGAAGCAATTGACCTTCTTGTGTTGGCTAATATCGCTAACAGTAGAAACTTAAATGCTATTTCAAAAGCTTGTGTAGACAACACAATTTTTTAGTTCCTTTCCTGCCTAAATTTAGATGAGTTTCAAGATCCCACCATATGTCAATGTCACAGGGACACTTGCATACAACACTTTAAAATTGAAACTTCTAAGCTGTAGTTTTAATTAGCATATTGCAGTAGATACCTGTAAGTTGGAGTGATTGGAGCACCTGCTGACCATCCAAAAAGAAGACAATTTGAGTATCAGATGACTGCAAGAACATAAATTTGAATGCTCTCATTCAAGTGTAAAAAATAAAACAGAGCAAGCATTATACAGATCAAAACTGCTGCACTTTAGAGTACATGTACAAAGATTTGTGTACATATACAGCTCATAATGTGAAACAATTCAGTAGACATTACTGATAGTTAAGCCTAGCTGCTTGTATCTTACTTTCCTGTTTTTACTATTCACTGTCTAAGTGTTTTCGGGTGGCTTAGCACCCAAGTTTGGTATCTGCTTTATGCAGCAGAATATGCTAGAGTAGGTAAGAGTAGGAAAAGCCACTTTGCTATATAAACAGTGGCAGACCATCTTGTATTCCAAGTCTTGTAATTTTCAGTTTCAATCCAAGCGGCCTAGTGGCCAAGCTGCCCTATGGGCTTAGCCCAAATCTGAGATCCATTTTGTTCATGTCTGGGCAACAATTACAACTGACTCCAATCTATTTCCAACTCTTTGCGGGCCAGATATTGGTGGGAAGCCCAACCTTCTTGAGAGCTTCTTCTTTACTTGCTAGAGGGAGATGATAAGTTGTTCCATCTCCGTAGGGCAACAGTCAGGCAAACCACCAAGCATGACCATGAAGCTCTGTTGACAATGGCCTGCTGGGTTGAACTGAAAACAGAATGACAAAAAATGCAAGTTCAGTTCCAAGCTGAGGGTGCTATCTGTGGTGAAACCAACGACAAGGAAGGATTCACCATATTTCATGAAAATCTATGACTCTGGCTCATACGTTATTATGCATATAAGCACTTATACTTCACATGTGAAAATCTAGCAGTCAGTTTGGCAGTGTTGTAACCTATCACACTTTGCATGATTTATGTTTTTAATGTGCTCTAACTGAGACATTCCAACGAAAAAACAAAAAGAAAGGAACAAAAACATGTCCATACATGAACCAGGAAATGACAAAATTAACAGAATGTGGGTCCATCTTTCATCCAGTGCTTCCTCTTTGCACCTGTAATTTTTCGCTCTCGAATCTCACAAACATTGACATAGCTGTAGTAGGGGGGTATCTGAGATCTCCATACTAGGACCTCAATTTTTCCTTGTTTCTTAATGCTTCCATACATCACATCTTGGATTCTTATCTCTAGAACCTCCTCTTCAGTTGAGAGGTGATAATGATGACAAATCATGAAATCTTCAGAAGGTGCAGCCATTCTTCGAAGCTGTACAGGTTTGTTTTGGTTTAGAAGATCAAATGGATGCACGCCGAATTTGGAGACACACGTCTGGATGAACCCTCTCATGAAGCCCAGAACCTTACACCAAAAGTGTATGCTAAAATTGTCCTTCAACAAACAAGAGATGATATATGCACTATTAATTGAACGATGCTGCAGTCTGGCTATCTCCATGGCCAGTTGTGCAAGCCTAGGGTGCATCTCGGGATCCATGCTTCCAAATGTAAGTGTCTTGAAGAAATACCAGTAAGCCTCAGGGGACAGGTACTTCAGAGTTAGAGCTGGTGTTGTTCCAAACATTACAATCATGTCTGAACAGCTTGTGACTATTATTTTACTACCACTAAGAAAGCTACGTTTGGAAGCAAGATAAAACCTATTCCATGCATCTTCACAGAGATTTTCATATAGTTCAATAACAACTAGCAATCTCTTGCCTTTCTTCAAGTTTGACAAATGATTTTGATGTTTCGTTGCACATCCCTGTCTGAAAGTTAGCTCACCATCTGTAAAATCACAGTCGTGCAGCCACAAGATTTCGGAGAAATAATCACGGACTCTTTCATCCTTGCAAACATGAGCAATTAGGGTACTCTTACCGACTCTGAATGGACCAACAAGTGGTAGGACCTCCGATTCTTCAGAACTGTGAGGTTTTGTGTGCAAAAGGAATTTAATGATAAGTTCTGCTTCCATCTGGCGATCAAACATGCAGTTGCCCAGAACGATATGCATGCTGTAAGGCTGGCGATACAGGCAAGGATAGCTCATCAAGAACATGACCAACTCATTCAGATCAACAATCATGGAGCTCAATCTGTCAAGTGCCTCTCGTAGTTGTTGAAGGAATCTTGCAGTTTGACCAGAGAAATAGGGTTCCATTGGAGAGGGTACCTTGGATACGGAGATAAAGTAATTCACAGCTTGATCTTTGCCATCCTCTTCTACATAGTAAGGCTGGTACCTGAAGGCATCATGTGCATAATAGCCTTGGTGCATGGCGTCTCTCAACATGTCAAGCTGGTGGATCATAGATTGATTTGTGATGTGCCGTCCCATGGCCTCCTCGATGATGACCTGTGCCCGAAGAAGAGCCCTTTGTAGGCTTTCCTCCACAACCAGTGCTGGCGGCTTCGAGCACTTGCTGATGATGAAATTTATGGATCGAGTCATCAGCTCACCGAGGACTGCAGAAAGGAAACTTTCCATATTGGGAGATCACTCTCGCTCCTCAGGAAGACAACACTGCAGGATGGGTAAGAAAGCACACTGTAAGTTTTGATGTTGCTGAAACTGTGTACTCTATGCTTATCATGAAAACTCCAAGGAGAGCAAGGGATTTTAAGAACAATTCGTGTCAGAAATCCAAGACGTATCTCTACAACTAAAAAATTCCTACGGTCAACATCTACCCGGCTGGACGATAGGTCGTGCGACCTTCGCTTCACCCCGACGTATGACTCCCCTGGCAATTCCTGACCGCACGGAATGATCACCTGCCTGATTGGCTCATGCATGCAAGGAACGCTCGTGCATGGAAGCAAACAAATCGATCACCTACCTGATTGGCTCGTGCATGCAAGGAAACATTAATCATGCGGTCCCCCCCCCTTCTCTCTCTCGCTCGGTGACCGCACGGAAGCAAGGGGGAAAAATCGATCAATTGCCTGACTGGCTCGTGCATGAAGGAACGCTCATACATGGAAGGAAACAAATCCATCGCGACCCGGCGCGGGCACTGGTATCTCTCATCGTAAACCAATCAGGCATGCACGTCGATATGAAAGAGGTTCTAGCTCTATGAAAGAGGTAATGCATTACACGTCGATACATATTTTTTCAAGATATATCAATAATACTTTAACTTTAAAAATTAACAAATAACTTACGTGCAGGATACTTATAATTAAAGCTTCAACTATATGCATGCTTTAGCTGCAAGAAGTTAGATGCCGCATCTTGGACTTAAAAATCTTCTAGATTATCTTTGATCGGTGACCAGCTGCAGCTTGGTGTTTGTGCAAAACACGTTCTCTTGGTCGAAACATTGAGAGATTAGATTCTTAATTGTACAATATATTGTAAAATATGTATTGTAAAACACAAACTTGTTATGATTAAGGTGAATGCTCGTGTTTTGTAACTTGTAAAACATCACGATTGCAGTATCTATTTTAGATACAGTATAACATGCGCTCATACATATGTTATCGTGATATTATGTGTACCCGTTGCAACACACGGGCATTTAACTAGTAAGAATAACTAAATTGATAAAGTCAATAGTCCATTCACATGTATGACCTTTGAACTGCTTTCGCCTGCACCTGATTATGCTGATTTAACTTTTTCTTTACAACCAGTTGGCTAGTTGGCTTACAGCCCTTGACTGTTGCATCCCGACCCTTCGCTATGTGAACAACTAAGCCATCACAATCCATGACCTATGTAATTTCTCTGTAGAGCATCTATGATATGAAGGTCACAAAAATCAATCCAACACCATCCAGACCTATGTAATTTCTTTGTAGAGCATCTATGATATGAAGGTCACAAAAATCAAGCCATCACAATCCATGACCAACGTAATTTCTCCGTAGAGCACCAATGTGGTATGAAGGTCACAAAAACCAGATTGTCAGATTAGCAACAGATGCATGTTCTGTGTACCTGCAACTCCAAAGAAAGTACCAGGTATATCAACCAGTGCCCGGCTTTTGGACTAAAGCTGTGTGATTTGGCACTTCCTTTAGACCCAAAAGCTTTTTTTTTAACGAACCAGCACTAGTTGTGCCAATTTCTATTAATAGAGAAGAGGTTACAAAGTCCCACGGAGGTGGTAAAGAAATTAATTAAAAAAAAAAGATATGGCTACTCTCTGGAATACAGGGATGCTAAGTGTTTGCCTCCTCCTCCCCAAGATGTTGCTTCCTCTTTATTCTTTGTGGTGATAGATGCTATGGATGCTGCTTTATGTTGAAAGATTCTCTGATTCCGCTCCTTCCAAATAGCCCCAAAAGCTTTTGGATCAATGAGACAGAATGGACTCAAGAATCGAGATAGAATACCATTTTTTGTGTGGTAGTGATATTACCTTCATTTCCCGCGAGCCCAAATCGTACTCCAGCATTGTTGTGCCCGCCTTGAAGTGCAAAAGCAGGGAGCGTTCCGTTCCCCACGAGCCGTCGTTGTGTGCCGGTGCCGGTGCATTGCGGATGCAGGCGTGCTCCTCGTCCAAGGTGTTGGCGAGAAATAGGTGGGCACGAAGCGGGCGCTCGGGCCGGGGCCGTCTTTGGTGAGGAAACCCAGCATCGAAGGCGGGCGACACCCCGCGGTGGAGGTCGCGGTAGCGGCGGCGGGAACCCTGGCCCCGTCATGAGGCGGCGCCAGCATTTGCAGACGAGCGGGCTAGCTGGGAGCGAAGCGCAGCGGGACCTCCTCCATTGCCATCAGCGCGCTCGCCGGCGGCGGATCTGCTTCCACGGTGGTTGGCCGGCGGGGCGCAGCAGGTGAGGAAAGGATCTACTGCTCTGCTTTCAGGCTTCCAGGTGGGGCCATGGGATCAGAGACAGAGAGATCTTGACTTGGTCTTGGGGCAATCGCTGGCCGTGCAAATGGAATCGAACGGTCCAGGTGGGCTACACCGCCTGCTGTCCAAAAATCCAAGCAGACTGGGCCCTCGATGTTCAGAAAAATGGCATTCAGCTAATTTCGCCCAACCAACTGATGAACAGATCATCTTCAGTTCCCTGTTGTTCTAATCTCGCATGGATAAAATGCATTCAGATACCAACACGGCAACAGCCATGCATGCTTTACATAAGTTCCTGAATCGTTCAGATCCCTGCAATGCAATCTCGCTGCCCCATCACTACCACTGTATGCATGTTACATGTTCTTCTCTTCCTGTTCAAGGCTAATGTTCAGGAACACGTACAGATTAACGCATCAGATCACTTCAACAGCATGCATCAGCTAGTTCACCCATAGCTGATTACCCTATCTTTTCGACAAATCGTAAACCTTAGAAATCTGAGAGAAAAACAACTACATACAGATGCTCCCACTTATGGCTCAGCCGCTCAGGGGTTCACATATGACAAGTAGCAGCATTTATACCGTATGGCCATAGATTACATTCTAGGAACTGGTGACCAAACAGATAGTGATCAAATCAAACACATGAAATGTTTTGCAAGTAACCAATGAATTACTAGTTCAGATATGTATGGTCAGCAAATAAGCATCGGTATCATCCTAAGTAAGAACCAAATCAAGAAAAACAAAACTCCACGTAACTGTCAGAAATGAAATGCACGCAAGCAACAAACCTTAGTGGTCAGCATTATGCGGCGACATCACAGTTTACACGCTTAAAGGCTCCTGGTTAAAGTTTCTTATCACCCATTAAACCGATATGAACTTGCTCACATAGAGATCTCACTCGATTCCATATAGGCAAAGCATTAGAGCACTTATTCCGCACATATGAATTCTGAAGCATCAAAAAGAGAAAGCAGGGTAGGTTCACCAGTGACATAGTACTTCACTGTACTGAAATATAGTGCATCAATTTTGTCGCGTGATGAGACTCAAATTTCAAAAAATAGAAAACCCTTCAATATGATGTCGGATGAAGATAATTTTTATATGTGAATTGTAGACTTCGGTAAGATCTACAACTTTATAGTTTTAATTTTTTCATTTGAGGACAGTAAGATGCTTGAAAAAATAATATAAAATTTCAGCACCATAATAGCGCTTGCCGCATTAGAGCACTAATATATTATTTGTATGGAGTTAAATAAAAATACTTTTTATACCAAAGCTGTAGCTCTCAATGAGATCTACAACTTTGTAGTTTTGAGTTTTTTCATTTGAGGACATTAAGATGCTTAAAAAAATAATATAAAATTTCGGCTCCTCTAAAAATATCAAAAGTTACTGTTCATCACCAAAACCGTCCAGAAGGTTGAAAGTTGAACTTTTTCAAGAGTTGGCGGGCCAAAGTTATCCGGTTTTGAAGTTCGAGGTTGAAATCCAGACTTTGGCGAAAATTGGAGGGTGTAAATTGGACTTTACCCTATAATTTATGCTTGATGTCACTTTGTAATACGATTGTCCAAAATTAACAAAAATTAAATTTAAATCTAGAAAAGCTCGCAAAACGACTCTCTTCTGTTGTTTAAAAATAAGTGAAAGACATCAAATGTCCACAGTGCCCTTTATAATTGTTTTTTTTCATACAGTAGTGTATTTGATATAGTTATACACCGGTAAGAATTATTAGAACACATGCTTGGACTGTGATTCAACGCCATAAAAAATTGAAGGGGTTATTTGATAGAGAAGTTATGAGATTTGGCAAGGTCTATTTTACAAGAAGTCCTTCTTCTTCCTTGAGACACAGAGCACAACCATGGCTGCTGCTGCTCGTCCAGGGCGGCAGCGGCGCACATCGCCTGCTGCGGGGCTACGTGCCTGCTGAGGCGGAACCACAAGGTGTCACGCTTCGAGCCAGCCTTGTCCGGAGCACCCGGCTGCTAAGCACCGCGCCAGCATCGGCATGGCATACCGGCAGACATGGTGGAGGCGAGCGAGAAACCTAGCCTGCCTGAGAGAGGAGGGCACCGGAGTCTTTGTGCTCGTGACCCCGGACGGAACCGCGCGAAGCCACAAATTTGGGCTCCGTCAATCCTTCAGAGAAATGGCTCCGGCTCCCAATGAGCTCCTCCGGCGAAGCTCTTTTTCATCTGGGCGTTTGGTAGGGCTCCGACAGGAGCCGGAGCTGAAGCCGCATTCAGAGCCCTGCCAAAGGGCACCTTACTCCCTCTGTCCTGTAGTAGTGTATTCCAAATTATTTTAGACAACTTAAGGAAACTCCTGATGGCGCATGTACCCATAGATTGAACCCAATTAAGGTGTTTCTCCTTAATTATGGTTTCCTTTTTAATAAACTTTACCAAATCTAGGCATTGACACCATATAGAATGCACTATATTTCAGTACAAATTTTAGAAGTCACAATGCATTATATTTCAGGACAGAGAGAGTATTCAGAAGCTCTTCAATTGTTCACCACACATGCATACATACAGTTGCACAGAACTTTTTTTTTTGAAGGATTCGAAACTAAGCTGAACCATAGCCATCACCCACCATCCCCCGATGATAGTTTAATGAAACGAACCATGCTTCACCGCCAGCGC